CGCCGGCTGGAATGACCACACCACGAAGGTACCGCAGTTTCAGTCGCCCCGCGCGTGCGTTGTAAGCTCGACGATCGTATTTCGTTTGGGGCTTCATTTTCCTTGTGATCCAGGCGGAGGGGAGTGGAGAGGGACCATTATTTTGGGGGACGGGACGAAAGGGGGACCCAAAATGAAAAGTCAACAAAGTTTAATAATTTAAAACATTTATTCTGGACAATTTAGTGCTTTTAACACAGAACAGTGATAGCATCACATCACAAGGTGTGCTTATCAGACCCCCACAGGCTTCATGCATATAAGGTGTGGTGACTCAGTCATGGGGCCAAGTTAGGGACCCATGACGCTCGGCTTTCTGTCCCGACTGGGGACGCCGTGGCTGTGTCACTGCCACACTTGGCAATGATGGCCACGCTCTGCACGTCAGGCTCCGCCCTGCCAGCCTCGTGTCCTGCCTGCTTCTGCGGGGCGATGGCCCTGCCGAGTGACATCCGAGGGACATTGGGGCTCCCTGTGTACGGACGGCCCTGGGGTGCTCAGCGCAGCCGCCTGCCGACCTCCGGGATGTCCCCCACACTGACCAGCTCCCCCTGCGTGGGGCTCTGGGGCAGGAGCTGCCGTGGCAGTTCCTCACTCACCTGCCACAAAACTCGGACTGTGTTGCAGTTGAGTGTCCAGACGGAGCGGCCCTGGGAAGTGGATAATCAAGGTGCTCGTCTACCTTGGCATTTCGCACCGCGGATCACGGGCAGGGATTTGGTCTCCTGGGACTCCAGGGTCCCCCTTGTCAAATGGAGAGGATGCCAATGGCTTCCAACTCCCAGGGTTGTTGCAAGGCTGCCTGAGTCCCTGCGACGGCGACGGCGCCAGCGCCAGCGCCCCCCTGTGGCAAACGCGGGGACTGCCGGTTACCGCCAGGGTTCCAGGCCAGGCCAGGAAATTTGCCGGCTGGCTGATGCCACCGACTGACCGCCAGGGGGCAGCCGTGGCCCGCGGACGCGGGGGAGGCGCCACTGTCTGGGCGGCTGAGGCTGGCGCCCCGCGTTCTGCTACTCACAGGCATGGGTCCCCTGCCCCATGACTGACACCCAGAGTGGCAGCAGGGGAAGCCCGCCGGCTGGAAACTCTTTCTGCGAAGACGCTCAGATCATTTTAAAAGGACCCTGGAATTGCTTCCCGGGGAGCAAAGCGGGGGCCTGTGTCCCGGAGCAGCCAGGCTGCTGCTCAGACTGGGACAGTCACTGCTCCCCACTGTCCTGTGCAGGGGCCTCAAGCCCTCACTGCTTTGTTCCTCCCTGCGGGAGCCACTTCTCAGCAAGGCTGGATGAATGCAGGGTAACCTCAGGGAGGGTCTCCCTTCCCCCTCGCCTCGCAGATGGTCCTGCAGGGAGGACTCACGTGAGGACATGCACCGCTGTGGAGGGATGTCAGGGAGTGCCCGCGTGGGGACCCGCAGGAGGACCAGGGCGGCTTCCTGGAGAGCAGAAGGCGGAGGGGGGAAAAGCTAACAGGGCAGAGAGCGCTGGGCTAAGGAAAAAATAAGTCACGACAGAGTTAGGGGTCGGGCTGCCACTTTAGACAGATGGCCAGGGAAGGCCTCCCTGAGACACGGTCTTGGAGTCCAGGCTTGAGTGGGGTGACAGCCACGTGTTCCCTGAAGGGAGAGTGTCCCTGGTGGGGCAGCAAGGCCAGCGGGTGGCCGTCATAGGCAGGTGTGTGCCTGGAGTTTTCGGAGGCTGAGGGTGGCCCAGTGAGCAGGAGAGGGCCAGGAGGCCTTGCCACCACGGGACAGGGCTTCCAGGGTGGGGCCTGAGGCCCACGTGGGGACGGGGCATAGCCTCTGCGTGAGGGGAGGGCGCCTGTGTTGCAGGAGGGCCCCCGTCGCTCTGCTGAGAACATGCTGAGGGGCGAGGGTGGGACAGGAGACCCTGCCCACTCGTGCTCTGAAACCCGGAGCCTCTACAGAGCCGTCACGGAAGTTCCTCCTGCTGTGGCTTGGGGTGGTTTGGAGAAGCAAAGCAATAAGTCAAGTCGGCCTCAAATTTCCTCTCAGTTCTAGGAAGGCCAGGCCACCACAGGGCGATTTGTACCTGACGCCGCAGGACGCTCTGCGGGGAGAACTGCAAAGACGTGAAATTCCAGTGCTGGAAGGCCGCGGTCTTTTGCTTTCGGGAGTCCTCGATTATGGTGACGCGTCTGACTGCACGAGCTCCCACCTCCCCTCCCAGCGCATGGCGGGCTGCGCCTCAGTGAGATGGGTTCGGCTCCCCGCCGGGAGGCTGAGGGGACAGGACCACATTCCCCAGGTGCAGAGGAAGCGAGGCTGAGGCCACCACTGGGACACAGTCAACTGCTTCTGCACCTGTAATGTGGAGACTCCAGTCAGGAAAGAAAGGGGGGAGGCAGGGCTGGTGTGTGGCACCAGCGGTTCTTTCCCTCAGTGACTTCGTCCAGCCTTTTGTCGTCGTAGGTACGGGATCGCAGGAAGCGTGAACGTGACGGGAGATGAAGTGAAGAAACTGGACGTGTTATCCAATGCCCTGGTGATCAACATGCTCCAGTCCTCCTACAGCACCTGCGTCCTGGTCTCAGAGGAGAATAAAGACGCCATTATCACAGCCAAGGACAGGCGGGTGCGTCCCGGGGCCGCAGTGCCCCTGACAAACAGCAGGTGGTGCTACTGAGCTGGGGAGAGCCTTGTCCTGCTTTCCTGTAGTTGCTTGGGATTTCCTCTGTATCCTACATTTGTTTTGGGGAAACCAAGGGTTGCGCACTGCTTTGGTAGGAACTCTTATGGTTACTAGTTAAAGAACACTCCACAGTAGGGCAGTGGCTCATTCAAGACATAAGTCTGAGAGATTTGGGAGTGCCCAGAGGTAGGGGTGTCCATGGCTGTTCACTCAGTGTGCCAGTGACAGGTGCCCGCACCTTTGGGGCTGGAGCTCCTGGAACCCAGTGAAGAGTAGAGCTCCTGGGAAGAGCTGCACCAGACAGCCTCTTATTCTCCCTGCCTCTTCTCATCTCCGCCCCCACCCCCACCCCCACGCCACACTTCCCCTCCCGAGGGGGTTCTGGGCTCAGCAGAGATTTCTTCCTGCCTGAGAAGCTGTCAGACTAATATGGGAAAGAAATCATAAAGATCCTGTGCTCTTGCCTTGATGCGATGGTGAGTCGGTTAGTGCAGGGCATGGCCGGGAGGGTCCATGTTCACTACGGGCTCGTGAACAGCCCTTCACGGAGAGTGTTTTGAGAAATATAGCATAGCTGCTGGGCGTTGCCTTCTTCCATACACGGGGCACTGGGGACTGGGGCTCATTTCTTTGTGATTAGCTGGAAGGATGGAAAAGATAAGTATAGCCAAATTTATTAAGCCCCTACTGAATGCCAGGTAACATGAACTTTTACATTTGTCCCACACAATTTAAGCTAAATTACAGCTCTTATTTTCAACTTTCCTTTTCGCCTGGTATGACCCTCATTTCTGTCTCCAATCTAACCTGCACAGATCCTCATGCTAGTTCTTGAACACTCCGCACCTGCTCATGTCTCTGCCAAAAATTCCCCTCCCTGGTTCTGTGTGTCTTCATTCCTCAGTTCCGGTCAGGCCCCTCATCAAGGGTTACCCCTCCCGCTCCCCAGCCCCTCGCCCTGCTTGGTTTTCCTTGGGGTACTTACCGCAAGCTGCTGCGTGTGGGGCTGCGCTCTGTCCCCACTGGGATGTCAGTTCCATGGTTGTCCCCCTTGAAACCTGGATACCTGGAACATTTTCCAGCATATGCTAAATGCTCAACAGACATCTGTTGAATGAATGCATGACTGTTTGGGCTGTGTTGGATTATTTGTACAGAGGCTAGCGAATTTCTTAGTTTATAGATGGTCCCACTTATTCCCCCCTCCCTCTGGCTGAGCAAAAAAAGAAACAGAAATAAAGCTCAGACAAACCTACGCCGCTCCTCATTGGAAAGTCAGGGAAAACTAATTTGGGTGGAGGGAGAAAGGCCTCCCAGTTTACTTGATGTTTTGTTCCCAGTGTCCGATTAACCAGGCGACTGGTGCTGCCACTAGGGCTCTCGCAGGCCCTTGCCCACAGAGGCCTGTCTAACGTGTCTGGGGACTTCCTTCCACGGAACGATGGCTGGAGCTGCCTGTGACAGCAGACTGGGGGGCTACGGGGGACGTGGGTCTACTAAGACCCCACCCACCCTGTCTTCTGGTCTTCACATTGCACAGGAGGGGTGGGTGCAGCAAAATCAGAGTCTTCTCATTCCCCTGATGCATTTGTGCACACCAGCTGTCTTAGTAGACAGACCCAGAGGCCCTGGGAATGTTGTTCTGAGATTTTCAGAAGTCTTTTGGTAAAAATGCTCCAAGATGAAAAAAGAAAACCTGTCTGGGGACAGGCCTGGACTGATCCCCAAGCCGATAGCTGACGTTACTGTGGACTCGAGTGGAGCCAGCCCTGGGCGTCTCTGAGTGGCAGCCCAAGTTCATCTTCTGCTTCCGACCTCTTCCCTGCCAGGTGCCAACTCCGGACCTGGGCTCCTGCCACTCCCAGCAGCTCTGAGCCCCGGTGGGCCCAGGCGGGAGGGAGGGTGGGGCCAGAGCAGGCGAGGGAGGAGAGCCACTGGGGGGGTCCTCCAGCCCCCCGTGCAGCGTGAACTGACCTGTGTAGGGCGGGGCGGCCCTGCCTGCGGGAGTCCTGTGTGCGGGCGCTGCCCTCCACACGCAGTGGCGCTTTCTGATAAGGATCCGCCATGGCTTAAATCTCTCCCTGGAGCGGCGTTGTCTGCCACGCACGGCCCTGACACAAAGCAGTGGTGCTGAGGGTAAGCCGTTCTGACCAGGTGCCTCTTCCCTCTGTGGTTTAGGGGAAATACGTGATCTGCTTCGACCCACTGGATGGATCTTCCAACATTGACTGCCTGGCCTCCATCGGAACCATATTCGCCATCTACAGAAAGGTGAGTAGACAGGCTGGCATTCACGCCTCCTTCCTGTGG